TGTAAAGATGTAAATGGGAGGGACACCAATGGGAGGTAAAACAGGAAGGGAAAATGCAACGGTCGCGCAAGACCCCAAACCCATAGGTAACGGGTGCAGTGGGTGAAGCAATTCGCACCCGTAGAGAACTCTGCCTCTAACCTATGTCAGCGTGCCGAGAGCCCTTCCCCGCCGCTCGTTCTGGAGCCGTCCCTGGCGGGCGCGTCACACCCCGCCGAACCGTATCGACGACATAGGCCAGGCAGGCGTGCATCGAGGGTAGCACGCCACACCGGAGCGCAGGTCGCCTCCGGGGCGGACACCGATCCTGGGGAAACGCGCCACACCGTAGCCACGGCCGCCTCCGGAGCGACAGCCGCCTCCGGAGCGACAGTCGCCTCCGGGGCGGGCACCGATCCTAGGGCAGCGCGCCACACCGGAGCGCCGGTTGCCTCCGGGGCGGGCACCGATCCTAGGGCAGCGCGCTACACTGGAGCGCCGGTCGCCTCCGGGGCGGGCACCGATCCTAGGGCAGCGCGCCACACCGGAGCGCCGGTCGCCTCCGGGGCGGGCACCGGTCCTAGGGCAGCGCGCCACACCGGAGCGCCGGCCGCCTCCGGGGCAGACACCGATCCTGGGGCAGCGCGCCACTCCGGAGCGCCGGCCGCCTCCGGGGCAGACACCGATCTGAATGCCAATGGGCCGTGGTGGGATCGACGGCGCACGACGCAAAAGATGGGAAACATTTGGGCATTGATCAGTACGTTATCGACGGCGCATTCGTCTCTTACGCACGTGGATTTGCGCCGGGGAGGGGGGAGGGGAGGGGGCAGGCGAAGGAGGAAGGTTCAACAGCGTCCAGAATGTGACTATTTTCAATGAAAGCTTTTAGGACCCTCAGCGTGAGACGGCACCATGATCCTTCCCAGTATACCACCACCGCTAAGGTCCTAAGTCTAACACACAGCCGCCATCGTTATTTGGGACCTAACAACCTACTCAGCGGCTGCGGCTATGTGGCGTCTGCTGCCCCTCATACTGACGGGAAGGTTGGGCAGCGCAGGTTATCGAAGCCCGTAATGTTACGGACGCGCAGCTTGACCACGTTACTGGTGCACCCACAGACAATCGTGGACTATCGAGTTCAACCCGCCCTAGAAACACCATCCTCATTCCAACGTAGCCCGTAGAAGTCCATCCCACTTCAACAGAGCACACCGTTTTTGCTCCCTTATTGAGACTGGCGAATCGTCCATTTCATACACACATAACATAAATAAACGTCTCCAAAGACGTCCTACTAAAGCCAAGACATGTTTCAGCTTTTACTGAAATTTCCCGCCGAGCCGATGTTTTCAGACCCTTTTAAGACCTCGGTCCGCGGTGATCTAGAAAGCTTTCAGGTCCCAGCTGAATGGTGACTTGCAGGCTCTTTGAGAGCCCCGCAGCATTGGCAGCGAAGAAATTCGCACTGAGAGGTATGTGGATTAACTCTTCCAGATAAGGGGGCGGGGGAGGGGGGCTGACAGGCCCTACCGCTGAGGGCTTTCTTAATAACTTGGCAGTCATTGAATGTGGCGCGGTGATTTTTCAGTGGCTGCATTTATTACATTTCGGACCGTCCTACCACTTTGTCAGCACTTTTCCGAGTAAGTCATGACTCATGAGCCAGTTGTGAAGGTGGTGTCTGCTCGGTTTCGCGCTAAATCTGGATCACATTTCACTTGTCGGTCGTAGGGACATGTTTTTTTCCACAAATACAATCGATGTTACGTCAGTGGTGTCACTGCTGATCGTGTCTGGGAGAAGTTGGGGGACAGATCATCAGGGGTCAAACTGGGTCAAACATGTCCAATTGTTTTATATCGGATTTATGGCGCATACACTCGCAAGCACACTTGTGCTCCATTCGATTCAGAATCAGGCCCGTGAGTTGCATTAAACTGAAGTGAATCGGCCCTTAATCTGAACCATCTAAAAAAGCCTTGACTCAGAAACAAGGATGACGCTCTTATTTTCTCGCCATTCGACCCGGGGCCGAATCAAATGACAAATTCGGGCATCCAAATGTACAATGGTTCATATAAGGACGCTCCGGCTTGACAGGTAGCAACACTATCAAATCATTTTGCTTCCAACAAGATACGCACACACATTGCCAACGCAAGTGCACACCACAAACACGCCACTGGCGCAAGCAAGGCGGGCACTGGTCACAGCACACAGTATCTTTTAAATGTACCCATTTCCTGTGCACGATTCCAGTCTATATATCACACGTAAGGCAGTCAATCGCCTATAGACCGCACGCAGAATTACACATTTCGCTAACGCCCAAGTTCGCCCCAAATAAGCGCAGGCTTGGCACTTACTTGGTGTCGTGAGACCAAAGTGGGCAAAATTAATTTAAAAAGGTCAGGGGTAGCAAATACAGCGTTACTTGATACCGAGCTTCGCACCAACTGGCATCAAAATCTTATTTTAGATAAACTGCTTATCAAAGGTCACAAAGCAACTACTTTGGGGCACAAAACACGGGCAAGAATCCGAAAGCACCTTGATTGTGCCGAGGCAAGCTTCAAGTAAGGCAATTCTGATCTCACAAGACTAACGTTACTTCATCGAAAACCTGGACAATACTTGGGAAAACTAGCATATGTTGTCCTCGGGCATAAAGAGAGCAATACAATAGTATGGGGTAAGGATGACACTTGAAGACTTCATTTCACATGGGACGTTTTATGGCACGGAGGATTCTATCTACCGCTTAGAAAGGACTGGTCGCTGACTGAGGTGGAAGGCACCACAAAATTTGCTGTGTGCTGCCAGGTCACTTGTAATTGGTGACTTTGGGCACTTCCAAAGCCTTTAAACTTGTTGCGCAAATGTCTGTGCAAATACACACGCACAAACGTGCGTACAGTTGCGCTAATTCCATGCGAACGGTACGTTTGGACGCACAGTGAAACCAACCCCACCAAAACAATTCAGACCTTGAAAGCCGTTCATGAAGAAAGTAATTGCCAACGGTAAGATGGTGTATAAGCTGGAAATGCACGCACAACCGAACGCGCTGTTTCGTTGCATGCATCACGCAGTGTTGAGAAGTTGTAAAACCAAAAGCCGACGTTTTTAATTAAAACCTATTTCGAGCGCGAGCCGGTCCCAACACGCGCCCAGAGCAGCTTGGTGTCAGTCACAGCCACGGCACCGCTGGAGACCGGGGGGGGGGGGGGGGGGGGGGGGAGGGGGGGGGGAGCGGCGCGTGCCGTCGGCCAGGTAGCGAGCCCGTTAAGACCGCAAATCGATCGGATCAGGGGGCGGCGCTCGCAGCGGCTGGGTCTCGCAGCGGGCGGCCGGCGGTCCGCGCGCCTGCCATGGACGACCGGCCACGGGCGGACGGACGGACGAACAGCGGACTCTCGATTGCGTGCACGTGCTGCACGTGCAACAGCCCATGGCGTCGCTGATGGTGGAACGTGCGGGCGAGATCGCATGAAAATGATCGGAAATATCTCAACTATGGTGTGGTCAGCTCTACCTGTCATGCAAGCATTTCTTTTAAGCACCTCAGAAATGCAACATTCACTCCATACATCTGAACTGGAACTCTGCTTGCATCAACTGGCACAGGAGCACCACAAGGAACCGTGGAGTGGAGCGCAGGGTGTCTTTAGAGCTTTAGTAAATGGCCTCAGCGCGCTTTGAACTGAACCAACGACGTATTTCACTAAATTGCAGCACATGCAATCACGCGTGAGAGGCCCCTTGTGAGAACTACGCCTCCCCACATATCTAAGTCGTACACGCAAGTGTTCCTCCCCACGACAGTGCCGCGGTGCGTGTTCCTCCCCACGACAGTGCCGCGGTGCGTGTGCCTCCCCACGACAATCCCGCGGTGCAAGCACCGCCCACACACCGGCTGATGAGCCCGATCTGCTCCCCGTGCGACACGAGAGAGCCCATCAGAGCCAGGACTCGGTCTCCGGCTCCGTCCGGGGCTGGCGTTGATCCGACGAGAGGTCGTCTGGACGGCACGGACGTACCCGGTGGTTCGCGCAGCAAGCTACAGGCGGCAGCGAGCAGTCGGGGCTGGGCCCGGCTTATGGGTGGGGGGAGGGGGGGGGAGAGAAGGAAGGGGGTTGCGACTGCTGGCATGACGGAGAGCTGGACCAAATACCCCGTGAGTCGGGAGGGTGGTGCCGCACGTTGTTTTATCACGGAATGCTACGCGATGCAAATACTTGGCCAATTTGGTTCATCGCATCATGGAAGCAGACCGAAAGTGGCAATATCAGAAGGCTTCTCTCTTCTTACTCACCACTTGGGAATAGCGGGCGGCAGTGCGACTGCGATGCCACATCCGTTCCGGGGTTTAAGATCAGCTGGAGAACAGTGCAGGCGGAGGAAGTGTGCCACGCCTGGTGCACATTCCGCATACAGCACCACGTCCCATACGAAACGGTGCCAACGAATCTGCCTCCCTTGTTGACTGATTTTCACGATAAGATGTGCATACCGCCCCCGTCACCAGAAGTTGTGCGTAACGCAGACGTGAAATGCCCTTGCCTATTCCGTGAGGTGGACACGACGGGATGGCCCTAATCACAAGAACTACAAACGGAAAACGAAGCGGTTCGCTTGGAACCGAAGTACCTAACAAATCGGACTGGAAAGGCTGCACGTATCTACGAAACTACTTGAAATCAGCCAATGAACCCTACACCAGAACTTCACTCGTCAGCTGATCAACCGCTCCCAGCGCCGTGGAGACCACACTCAACATCCGAGGTGGTCTGCCACAGCGCGAAAACACCGGAATGCACCACGTCGGTGGATGGGGGGGGGGGGGGGGGCGCTCAGGGAGGCGCCCGGTTCATGCATGGGCAGCAGGAGCGCCCGGAGAAGTGTTTGGCTCCACAGAGAGCGCGAGCGGTGTGGAGGGGGAACGTGTCCAGAGGCGCACGGGGGCCGATCGCAGACGCGTCCCGGGGCGTCCAAGGGTGCGGGGGCGTGCTCACCTCTTGTGCGCCTTGTCATCGGAGTGGTCGCCCACGAACGTCTTCAGCTCGTAGTCGACGCCACATGGCTTGCCGGTGTCCCCTGCGGCAGACGGGGCGGCCGTCAGACGGAGCGGCGGTCAGACGGATCGACGGTCAAGGGCGCGTCCTCAGGCCGCAGCAGCATCTGATCATGCATATGAAAGACCAGACCAGACCAGACCAGACCTGGTCTGACCAGACCTGGTCTGACCATACGCTCCGGCCCGACAGCACAAGGACCAGACCCCGCCAAGCCGTAAGACTCCCAGATCGAGGCTGCCCCGTTCAGGTCGTCCATGCGCGTTATGTGGCGAGGAGTACAATCACATCGTTCCGCAGAGCCGACATGCATGAAACATTCCGCGACGGAATCCATGGCATGTTTTGATCGCGCGTCGCGCCAGCTTGGAAATGAAAATGAAGTGCTAATTTCCAGTCCCGCTTTTAGGAAACTGCATGTGGTAAAACAGCTGGGAAATTGGACCACCGTTTCATTCCGGCGCTAACGACTCCCCGCGGTCTAATTAAACTCAGGCGGCTCCCATTCCATGGTGACGGCAACAGAAAACAGGGCTGATAGTAGTTCGCCAGCGCCAGTCTCGACCCCGGAAATACGGGGAAGTGTCCGTGGAAATGCCTCATATCTCTTTAAAGTGGCCTAGCCCCGTGTGCACATACGGCCTCAAGGTTTACCAAACCTCTCAATACTTGAAGGACATTATCTGACAATATCAAAAACAAATATCCAGCGATGCGATTTTTCCTCAGAGGGAAGCCTGGACTTTGCGTGCCTTTGCGTGACAGTGGTCATTGCATGCGACAAAGGTAACTGGCCCGACGCAGCCACTTAGATAAGCAATTAACGACCCAATCAACCCCTATCCGGCCACGCTGGCAGCACCCGCATACCGGCAGTCTATGAGACCACGACTTGGCACTGACTAGCCACCCTGAGCCGACCTGGTGTTTCGCTCGCCGACGCCGGCGCCCGTCCGGTCCGCATCTGCGGCGCTGGGTGGGGGAGCGACGCCGGCGCTGGTCAACAGACAGGTTACTGGGCTGGAGCTGCCACCCGACCCAGCCCGTGCCGTGCCATGCCGTGCCGTGCCGTGCCGTGCCGTGCCGTGTCGTGTCGTGTCGTGTCGTGTCGTGTCGTGTCGTTTATCCCTGGTTTATGGTCCCGGCCCCCGGTCCCCGTCCCCAGCCGGGGCGGCTCGCCGGTGCGCCCGGAGCATCTTGTCCGCTGAACGGGTTTGAATGGGGAGCACCGCTGCCGAAGAGCTGGAGCGACGCCGCACGCCACCGGAACGGACTAAAACTGGTGCACGCGAGCCGCGAGCGCACGCGCGGCGCGCACGACGCGTGACACCCGGACCGACACCGGTTTTGGACCGGGCTCATTCCCCGAAAAATCGGGCGACTGACAAGCCGCACATCAGTTACGGTTCGCCTGCCCCGTTACATAAGGCGTCCTCCCCGGTCCACGCCCCACGGCGGGGTATCGCGCTCCATGGAGCGGTTCATGCTGCGGACAAAATTCGGCGGAAATATTGTAGTGGGAAGCACGGACCGCTGGCAAAATATGAGATGCCAAAACAGTCATGACTCAGTTAATTGTTCACAGGCACTTAGGACAGTTCTAAAAGGGGAGTTACTTTTGGAATCACAAACTTCACGCAAAGGCGATCAAAATCGAGAGCTCTTTCATCTAATGTTCATACACCTGTACTCTACTGGTGGAGCCAGCTGCCGTCCAGCCTGGGCAGGACGGGCCCCTGCGCACCTACCGGCCGTCCACCCACCCTTGTGCTACCGCCTGTCTGTCTACCTGAGCTGCGCTGCCGCAGTTGCCGTTCCCCAAGCGGAGTCGCGCCGCTCCAGCTGCCCCCCCCTACCGGAACCGCGCTGCCCCAGCTGCCCCCCCCCCCCCCTACCAGAGTCGCGCAGTCTCAGTTGCCGTCCCCAACCGAAGCCGTGCTGTCCCGGCTGCCCTCCCCCCTAACCGTGGCGGCGCTGCAGCCAGCCGTCTGCCAGGCGTAGCGGCCCGGCTCAGCTGCGTGACGTCAAGATGCCAGTGACGCACGGCGCCGCAGCGCTGGGCGCGCCAAAAGTCGCGAGCGCCGGCCGCTGTGACAGGCGATCTGGCGGGACCACGCCGCCACGAGACGGTGACGTGCTAGGCAGGCCCCACAGCCGCGGCAGGTGCCTGGAGCCGCTGGTGGAACCCGAATGATGAGACGAGCCGGGAGCATGGCCCATCTGATGTGACGAGCCGGGGGCATGGCCCGTCTGATGTAACAGGACGGGGGCATGGCCCGTCTGATGTGACAAGACGGGGGCATGGCCCGACTGACGTGACGAGCCGGGGACATGACCCCACTGATGTGACGAGCCGGGGGCATGGCCCGATTGACGTGACGAGCCGGGGGCATGGCCCCACTGATGTGACGAGCCGGGGACATGGCCCGTCTGACGTGACGAGCCGGGAGCAAGGCCCGTCTGATGTGACAAGACGGGGGCATGGCTCGACTGACGTGACGAGCCGGGGACATGGCCCGACTGATGTGACGAGCCGGGGTACGGCCCGTCTGACGTAACGAGCCGAGGGCATGGCTCGGCTGACGTGACGAGCCGGGGGCACGGCCCGTCTGACGTGACGAGCCGGGGGCACGGCCCGTCTGATGTGACGAGACGGGGGCATGGCCCGTTTGATGTGACAAGACGGGGGCACGGCCCGACGGAAGTGACAACACGGGGGTATGGCCCGTCTTGGGTGACCACGTCACAAACACAGCGTTAGAGCACCAACCCTCGCCGGACGAGGCAGCCCCGAGACCGAGCCGGTGGGCCCGAGGCTTTCCTTTGACTATCTCTAAACCATTTCCACCTGCATTCTGACATTGTCAGTGCTAAGTTCAGAGCCTTATCTGTACCTTTGTACAATGTACTTTACTAGCTCTCGTGGCCTACGAGTTACGCCCTCGTTGTCCAAGTTACATAAGCCGCATTGCGTCCATTCTTGTTGTTCGTCAGATACCGTACCCGGCAACGGGTCGGGTTACCTCGAGTCAGGCGACGGCGGGTTTACCATACAGACATTGCCGGAGAATGCCGTTTGCACTTAGTGACCCGAACTGAAGCATCACAAATCAAGTCGACACGTATATCACGCTGCATGATAACAGCCAGTCATCTGAAACAACACGCGACCAAACAATCAAACATGTGGCGCAGAGAAACCACCCAACGTCATTTATGTCGCTCCAGTAGCATCCTTAGTCACGGGGTCAAGGGCGCATTCACTCCAGACTGAACGTCATGACCTGAACCGCCATGCCTTTGGACATTCACCGACGGAAAATAACAGGTGCATGGCACCGCACGTCAAGTGCCGTACAGTCTTCTGTTTCACACTTCACGACACGCAAGGGATTGTAGACAAGCGACCCAAATACCTTAAATGCACTTATTTAGACCTTAGCTGCTCCGTCAGATATGATCTGTGCCGACTTTCAGTGGCGCCATTCCGATGCCTGTTTATCAGGCCCGTCATGTCTCCTGCCGTTTCGCTTTCGCCTTTTTCGTGACAGAAGGGAGTTTGTGAGGTCTGAAGCCGCAACAAGGCCGTCAGATCAGGGGCACTCCAGATCACGCTGGCATTTGTCCGGCAGGTCGCGTTCTACCGAGGTTGGCAGGCGGACACAGACCGCGTTCTGTCGGGGCTAGCAGACGGTCACAGACCGCGTTCTGCCGGGCCTGGCGGGCGGACACAGACCGCGTTCTGCCGGGCCGGCAGGCGGTCACAGATAGCGTTCTGCCGGGTCTGGCAGGTGGACAGACCGCGTTCTGCCGGGCCTGGCAGGTGGACATGACGTGGAAATTCGGGTGGCGGCCTCTCCGGGGTCGCCCCACGTCGGCCCGCGTCCCGACAGGCACACGGCGGCGGCTGACGTCTGCAGATGACGGCCGCCACGAGCCGGCGCGGCTCAGCTTCAATGTCAACTGCCGCACACGTGGGCGTTGCTTTCTGGTGTCTGGTGCACTAAAGGGATAGAGGGGACGGAAGCAAGGAGCGCAGGACGCACAACTCAACAGCACATGACATTTCAGATAGCTAAATTACCCAAATCCGAGTGTTCAGGACGTAACATTGGCAACATGATAAGTACCGGCCCGTTGGCGACGAGCAAACTCATCCAAAACATTTGCAACAAAGATGCGGTGATGACCAAAATACATATATCAAAACTTGGACCCTAATCATTCCCGCAGGACAAGACATAACAAACTGTATCGATTATACAGACCCAACTATCTATTTTTACCTGAGGGGACCACGAATGCTGTCCTCAACACATCATGTAAATCATCATCAGTTCCCAAAGGGACGCGAAAAGCGCCATAGACCAATTCAATCGCTTACATCACGCCCCATATATCGCGGCATTTCAGCCACATGAAATCGCATCAAGTGGGATTTCATCAACGTTCCGAATAATTGATGGCGTCAATTTGGCTAATTACTATCATGTCCGCAAGGACTTAGCACTGATGGACCGAGAATTTCCACGTCAAGAACAGGTTTCTGAACCCTAGAGACAAACATTGCCGTGACATAACAGTGGAGTTGATGCAGTTGGTGACTTTCACACCACTGTACTAAATAATCACTCATCGCTAAATTTCGCAGCGGCAAGATCCACCAGCAACGCTCACACCGCGGGACGCCACAAAAACCTGCCTGAGGTCTAACAGACACAGGATGATCATTTGGCAGCGTTTTGCTCCCTTCAACACCCCGAGTGCAAAATGTGGTCGTTTTTCGACATTGTTACTCTCGAACAGTTAGGAGACGACCACCATATCTGGCGTCTGCGCAGATGCCGTCAAATAACTCGTTACCCCGACACACCTACAGTCCTTCCTCTTCACTGGGCCCAGTGAAATGATGCCTCCGAACTCCCCCCCCCCCCCCCCACTCTCTCAGTCCGGTTATCTCAGCACACAGGTGGGAGTGAGGGGTGAGAATAAGAGGAACACTCTGCCCGAGCCGGCACCCGCTCCGTGCCTGATGGATGTGGGTGGGCGCTCAACAGCCAGACCCCGACTGCTGAGCGACGTCACAGGGAGACCCGGCGGCTCCTGCCCCACCAGATGGCTCGGGGCAGCGACGTCAGTGTGGTCATGACGTCATAGCCACGTCACGATCAGCCTGCGTCCCCACCAGCTGGCGCACCACCCTGCCGGCCGTGACTCCGCCGGGCTCCGAGCCAACAGTACAGGCCGCCGCGACCGCACGGCTCGCTGAAGCGTGCAAAGCGCTGCCAGCCGCGTCCATACGCGATAACGGAATGCTCCACCTTCATGCAAGAGCAAAACGGAGACATGGGTCTGTGGCAAGCGCGACGAGAATGCATGTACATGGCGACAAAAGTTTTCACTTCGCCGATTTCGAATGTCACCTCCAAAGGACCTAATCGCGCGGGTTCTTGTCCAGCTGTGACGCAAATCAAGAAACACGGCGGTCAAACGCCAACGAATGCAAACAATTTTGAAGAGGTTTGAGAAGTAAGGCAACGCAAATAGCTGTCTGAGTTTGAAATTCGTTAAGGTGTTCAATGTTAAGATCGTTTTCCACTTGAACCTTCGTTATCCTATTCCACCTCATTGCAACGGTCATACTGCAGCATATTACGGGCTCCATTCTCCAGCTGTTCGTATATCTTCTATAGAGCAGCAGCCCCGCTAGCTTGGAACATCCATGCAGATGACCCACAACCTCGATTACTGACGACACCCACACTGTCACCTGGCTCACCACTCAACTAGAGCGGGCTGCGGGATGACACTCACCTGGGGCGAGATGCAGCATGGCACTCACCCTGGGCGGGCTGCAGGGTGACACTCACCTGGCACAGGCTGCGGGATAACACTCAGCTGGCGCAAGCTGCAGGGTGACATTCACCTGGGGCGGAATGTAGCATGGCACTCACCCCAGGCGGGATGCGGGGTGACATTCACCTGGGGCGGGCTGCGGGGTGACACTCACCTGGGGCGGGCTGCAGGGTGACACTCACCTGGGGCGGGCTGCGGGGTGACACTCACCTGGGGCGGGCTGCAGGGTGACCGAGGCAGGACAGTGCGGAGGAAGCTCAAAGAAAAACGGGAAGGCGTTTGAGCCGAGCTTCTTGATCAGCCGCTCCTGTGGACAACCGAATGTTCTAGTACCCGCCCGATCACACATCCAGCACGGAAGCTGGCCGGCCGTCAGCATCATTCAATAGCAAGTAACGGCCATCGGAAATCAGTCCGCACCACGCCCCGGTGATCAATGTCCCAATGAACCTGATGTTGACGACAATGACGGATGACGTAATGGTGACGAGGCTAGTGGTGCGTTTGCAGGTAGGAAAACTGGGCGATGTCTGCAAGTTCACAATATCTATTTTGGACCATTAAGCCATGCGACAAGTCTCCGATTTACGTCACATGCTGTTTTCCCAACCACCGATCCGTTCACCGACGCAACACGCTCATAATTCGGCAAAGTCATCAATGCAACCATTCAGGGCAATTTGCGATGACGAAGACGGGCATGACTGGATTCGCCGAAGGATATTCACGTGAATAAGTTACTGAAGGCCTGCTTTGTTAAGAAGTGGACGGCAAGGAAGCTGCCGAATTCATTGATGACAAGCGTTTCGCGGGCCGCAGCTAAATGGTGCTCGCGTCCATTCACGAAATGTGTTAGTCGCGTTCCCCGTCAATGAAGGCTTTCAAGGCGGCAACAAATCCTAGTTCCCATTCAGGCTGATACAACACAGTGCAATTTACAAGGAGGATAATGGCATTCTTGCAGGCCGGGCCGCGATTAAGTGTGGGGGGCGTCGCGCGGCCTCGCGCTGCGCCGGGAGTCATACGGGCGGGAACCGGTTCTTCCGGAGGAGCGGCACCGTGTCAAACCGCAGGCCATGCATCGAAAACAGCCGTCTGTCCTGGCCAAGGAAAAGCGTGACGTCTCAAGTTCAGCAACAACCGGTTAGGAAGTCACTACACAAGTCGCGTGGGCCCAGGGACGACGCCAGGTCGGATCCTCCGCAGGTTTATCGCTGAGTCGCGAATTGCCGTCAAGACATCGTCGAGTCAGCCTTCCCCTACTCTGGACAACACACAACCACGCCTGACGTCCCATGCATCCGTCTCGGACAATGCACGACGGTTGGATGTCCGACATAACTGTTCCGGACGATCAACAACCCCGCATGATGTCTGGCGCAACTGCTCCGGACAATAAACAACCTCCTGTGACGTCCCACGCAACTGCTCCAAACGATAAACAACCCCGTATGATGTCTGACGCCACTGCTCCGAACAATACATAGCCCTGCGTGATGTCCGACGCAACTGCTCCGGACAATAAACAGCTCCCTTCGATGGTTGACGCAATTGTTCCAGATGATAAACCACCGCGTGTGATGCATCACGCAAAAGTTCCCGACAATAAACAACTCCGTGTGTTGTTTCACGCAACTGCTAAGACAACAAACAGCCCCGTGTGATGTCTCACGCAACTGCCCCAGACAATAAACAACCCTGTCTAATGTCCGACGCAACTGCGCTTAACAGCCGCGCATAATGTCCAACGATGCGCTGAATGCAGCTACGGAGAGGCCTATGGACAAATCCGTGTGAAATGTCAGCTTCCGGAACGGGGCGGCATCATGCCTTGTGACCGAACACTACATGGTTTCTATCATCAGCAGTGGGGCAGCATTACGCCCTGTGATCGAACACTAAATGGTTTCTATCATCAGCAGTATGTGTGACGGTGCACATCGATCTGGTTATCACAAGTTCGGGAGCATTCAACCTTCACCGCTTCCTTCCCTGTCCACAGGGATTTTTATTGAAACCGGTGAAAACTCAGCGCCGGTACTCGTCGGGAGCTTCAATACGATATCCCACATGTTCAACTGCAGTTGACTGTCGTTTCACAGATGTGGCTTATTTGTGCAATTTTTGCGCGCGATAAACCTCAAGCAACCGGCTAAAGGTAGAGTTACCTTGGGCTTTGAATAAATCGGCACATCCTAAACCGTCTGCCCCGGTTGCTTAAGGGGAATGTTCCACATTTGCATGGGCTTGTGAACGAATAAGTCATTATGAAGACCATTCGGTGCAGTCCACAGCCCTATCCTTCGTAAGACCTAAAAGCCTCCAGTTAATGAGGTTAACGACCGCGAATATGTGCACACTCTTTCGTGCAGACTATTGCAAGGTCATTCGGGCACATATGTCACCATAGCAACGCCATCAAATCTTTCCACACCAAAGGTCACGCAGCATTTGACGCTAACAGAAATAGTATCGTTGAGCCGTTCAAATCTGGCGTCCGTGAACACGATTTCCACACTGTTTACGTCATTTAGCTCTTAATCAATACTGAGCAAGCTGTGCAAGTTTCAATCACGGATCACGTTTCGAGCTACATAATATAAGAAGCTGAACGTGGTTGCTGGTCATTATGGAAATAAGACCTAACGAAATCTAAAGGATTTTAGAGAAACTGTATTGCATAGAGCAGCCTTTTCCACTTAAAAGGATACTGTTATATATAGGCGAGCATATTTCATCATATCTGCTCCTTGCTTCAATATCTTCAAACATGGAACAATATTTTTACCAAATCACGCTTTTGTAAAACCGAGCCCTTCGCCTGCGACGTTGCATAAAAGCAAACCTCCAAAACACATGTGTCCCTCTCCCCACTCTTGCCTCCCCGCGGCGGAAACCGCACAGAGACGCCTGCCCGTCAGCCTGGTGGTGGTGAGGCCGTACCTGTAGCCTGGTGGGCGGTCGCTTGCTGGTCTCCAGCTGCGGGTAGATCTGCTCCCAGGCGAGGTACAGGTCCTTACGGAACGTCAGGCCCAGCACGTCCAGGTCTTCGCGGCCGTAGCGGAACGCCGCCAGCACGTGGCCGTAGACCTTGCGGTCGCGCAGGTACTCGGGATCCACGAGCACAACGCCATCTGTCGGCGACACGGATAGGAGTAGTTGAGACACCGTACGTAGGTAAAATGGATAACTGGAAATTCCATCTGTCCGTGGGATGCATAATGCAGTTAGGCACACGGTGATCTGTAGGTGGCAGGCGTAAGTTTTTTTGGCAGCGACTGTCGGCGAGGACGAAGAATATTCATGGCATCGCTAATTCCTGACATTAATGTTATTTATCAATTGCTGCTGAAGCCACGCCTGTAGCCTGGCGGGCGGTCGATTAGTGGCCTACGGCACCAGCACTTCGACGCATCTTTTATTGGTGCGGCATAGGCGGTCTGGAATTCGCGCGAGTTACGTCGCTCCCCGTGTCGTACATGATGAGCATTCCTACATACACCCACCACGCGCAGAATTTCATTCGCCCTGCTTTGACCCCTGAATCTACGTTAGTCAGGCTCATACCACTTTTGCTGCCAAACAAGCCTAAATTGCGTCATTGCGGATACGAGCCGCCGTGCGCGTCCCCGGCTGATCCAATATTGTTGGACGACAGCACGCGGAATTCAGTGCGCGGGACGCTTAATTCGAAACTTAATAGCTTGTATCACTTCGTCACATCTTTCGTCACCTGGCAGAGCGCAATATGGCGAGCTATTGCATTCCCAACATGTCCAATATCAGTGGGTCCTGTCACCAGCATAAGAATCCCGTTGATGTCAGCAGCACACAGTGTACCGTGCATTATCAATAAACAAGGTGTGGTGCGGCGCATGCCGGGTGGACGGGATGTCAACGCCAGCAGTCATTCCAGGTGAGGCAGTGCCGGAAGGGAAAACTCGATCGGGTCGCTCATCCACCGGGTAGGATAAATGGAGACGCAGTCAGAATGTCATCTAAAAACGGACTCTAAGCTACATAACAGGCGCAATTCGAATGCGTTCAAACATGGAGAATCGGTGGACCAGAACTTAAAGCGCCTATCTGGTGACATTAAAGGGAGTGTCACACTTTTGGGACGCTTTTTTTAAATGTTCTGGCGAAACCTCAGGACCAGTTACGTCTTACAACAGCACTGGCTGGTGTCGTCGCAGTACCATCAAGATACCATGATGAGACTAATTGCAATTATTTTCGGATCCAAACTGCGCGTCCAACGTTTTGTCACAGTATCATATTTATTTTTTCCTTGGCAGCCCCACAGGGCGGCCGAAGTCCAGGAAAACTGCAATTGCCGCGACTGCCGTAGGCGTAACCATTGCTGTTGTCACGGCAACGGCAAAATCTGTCAGGGGGCGCCGTCAGCTGTTCCGGAATAAGCGTTCCACTTTTATGTCATATAACACGCACATCGCGGCCTGGAGGACTCAAAAATGGCACATCTTCTGGCATGAATGACTTTACTATAAATCAACGTTTGTGATTGGCACTGCGAACGACGAACGAACATTTGCCGAGAAGAGTATTGGTTGAAGTTTGAACCGGCGCGTCATTTTAGACTATGGCTCTGTTCATCCCTCCCCCCCCCCCCCCCGCCCTCCCGCTCCTCTAACCTCCTCATAGCTCCTCCAAGCTAATATAATCGTTCACGTAGCACATCCAACCTCCTACCCGCTCCGCAAAGCTCAGATCCACCTTCCTCCAATCTCCTTCGAGATAAAAGGTGGTTTTTGGAGGAGTTTGGAAAAGGATGTGATACACAATAGTGGCGCAGTTCATTCACATGTTGTTTTTTTCGCTCCACGTGCTGCCGCAACAGAACCAAAGGGCGGATGGGTATGCTAATCCCGGTAGAGTTACTTCTAACTATTTACTCTAGTTAGCATGTTCATATGATGATTATACATCATATCTCTTTAGATGTACAATGAATCTCTCACAAACCTGCTTAGTTCAGTTGCGCGCAGACAGCTGATACCTCCTTCAAAATTGTTCCAGTGGCAGCAGATTTGACACAGATTCAGCGCTCGTCCAAACTCCTCCAAACTAATTGCATATGTTTTGGGGAGCGACGGGAACAAGCCGCATGTGACACTCCGTTTCTCAAACGTCAAAATGCGCTTCAAAAACAGCCACAGTGCTAAACGCCTTGGGAGAGAAACCAAAGCCATAGTATAAGGTTTCGTTGAATTTGCTTGATAATAGCCTCATGTTTGCACACACTTTTGTCAACAGCGTTTCAAGCTTTCGGACCGTTTATGTCACAAGCCTTTTGATGAATAAGTGCATTTTATCGAATTAGTGCATACTTTTCCCAAAGTATGCGTCGCATAATGCTTGCAATACACTAATTCATCAGAAGGCTTGTGAAATAAACGTTTGCATACACTTTTGTCAACAGCGTTTCAAGCTTTCGGACCAATGATTTCACAATGCTTTTGAGGAAGTACTGTACTGCACACATTATGCGACGCATACGTTGGGAAAAGCAGAGCATTTGAAAAGTATTGCTTTCATAGCGGTAAGTAGGTAATTCAATAAGTTTTCCCCCGCCTGAGCAACTCTTTCGAAAAAAAAGTTATGCGCTATGTAGAAAAATTGCGAACAACTGGTATCACCGATAAAATCGGACAAATCCGATCAAACAATAAGTGAAAGGTACAAAAAAGACAGCATATTCCTTTTACCATGACACAATATACAACCAAATCATGATCTCAATGTTTTTATATAAGCGAAAAGTTGTTTTGTTTCCTATGCTGCCTCTGAAATGCAACCACATATGACAAGCAAATGCGATTACGTAAGTGCGCAAAACGAGTTCAACGGACCTGGCGAGCCTGCCACCATTTGGACGCATCTCAAAAACCTATATAATGAACTCGATGGATTCCTAGATTTTTTATCACTATAAAAAGTTCAGCAAGGCATATTTATGACCACAAAACGGCATCCTCTACTTCTTATGAGACTCCAAAAAATGAGTACACCCCATCACGTGGAAGCCCTCGAAACTGCAGCATAACAGCCCACCAGATACACTTTTGAGTGAAAAACATCTCGTTCTGCGTCTTATGCTTCGTACGCACCCGGAAGTACCCACAGCAAATACTGCGGTTCCTAAGCGAGGGCAGAAGCTTTCAAGGGTAAAATAAAGCTAGACGGAGGTCAAGCCCGAAAGCCAGAAGCAAGACCGTAAAAAGGCAAGGGCACGGATTTTCGTGGCGCAGTGAGCGTGGTGCATGAAAGGTTGGTTATTGTGGCACAGCATATGCGTGGTCAAGGTCTACTAATTTCCCACAGATACAATGCTGCCGAAATATGCGTCCAGAACACTTGCCTTGTTATCGCAACTGATGCCCTGCGCACTTTGCCCCCTCGTCAACCTATGACCAGCTTGAACTCCATGAGTGGTCAGTAACATACGTCCGTTGAGTGTTCCCACCTCAGTGTTCCAGCTTCCAGCTGGCATGCAAATTATCTCCGTGTTATTTCAAAGTATGTGCACCTACCGGGTTTCCTTCCTTGCTCTGGAGAAAGGAACTCACCTCTCTGATTCGCTGCGGTAAATCACTGCCCCGACGCTAACTTCCAAAACAAAACCAATGAAGCCACAAACTACGTTGCCAAACCAACGTTGCAAAAAGGTCTTACGTGAAAAATATCACCATTATAGCACATGGAGAGAAAGCGGTTACCCACTCTTTCAAAAAAACAGCTTTAATGCGAAAACCACCCTCATTTTATCGTATTTACAGAAATCGTCCACCTGCCCGAACACCTTAGTCTTCAAGTTCGCAACCTACATGTGTTATGCGAATGTTGGATTGAACCGGACACAACGAGCTGAATAAGCTGTTTGATATAACCAGTCCAGTAAATAAGTTCACACAAAAATGCTTGCTGTGGCTGGCCACCGTTTCTATTACACAATTTTGTTTTAAAAATGCAGATAAAGTCGTTAATGTTATTGGTGGAAATAAAATCAAACTTTGGATGAAGATACTGAGCCACCGAGAGCAAATTTCGCCAGACGAACTTCGCAGCGTGATTCTTAAACGATTGGTCTTACATATTTCAATGTTTTCCTTTTAGTTGGCAAACTCCTTTTAAGAACGCCTCATCCAGGTTGGGCCGGGTGAGCTTGGACCGGGTCTCGTCGGTTCAGGGCGGGTCAGGTCCGGGTCGGGCCATGCAAGGTCGGACCGCACCGGTTGCAACAACATGGGTCAAAGTGGCCCGCCTGCGTCAGGACGGGCCAATAACATTCACGTAAGATGTTCCGACAGTTTAAAAGAACTGATGCACGCGATGTTGAGCCACCTTCCTCGAAAACTACCGGTCGATAAACGTATCCCACAAAAAGCTCGGCTCGTGTAATCTTGGCTGCGATGCGATAAGTGGACCTGCGCAGAGCCCGCTGATACCGGTTCGGTTACGGTACACCATCAAATCAGCGGCAGATCTCCTCAGGCATGGATCAGTCTATCGAACGCATCTCCACATCTGACAGCGTTGCCGTTTATCGGAGATACGAGCGGGCTTCCGTTGCCGGGAGGCAACTGAGGGGAACGAGACAACACGCATCTGCCGCAATAGTCTTGCATGGATCCAACATCAGTTTGATTGTAGTGTATTGGGTTTGAGTCAATGGAACCACAAAAGTGCGGTGCGCGGTGGTCCGTGGAAGTCCACCACCAACTCCCGACAGGCAGTCCTGCCGCGTCGGATGGTTCGCTTCGTTTACGAAGCATCCGAGTTGCCTTCAACCGTATCGCGGCCGACCGCCGCTGGCCGCGCCGGAAACCGAGCCGCGCCCCGCGGCGCGCCCTGAAGCCGGCCGGATCAATCGACGCCCCGAGTCGGCGCCGACGAACCCCGCGTCGGCATCGACGACTGCGGGCGACGGCGGGCGCGGGCAGGGCTGGGAGCGTCGGCGGCCGCGGGCCGGCACCAAAGCGACCCCGGAGGCATGCGCTGCCAGAGACGCGGTGCCGGTGGGCGGCGGAGCGTCAGACGCCGGGCCCGCTCCGGGAGGAAGGCGCCCGCGCGGCGGCATGCGCGGCGACATGCGGGGCAGCATGCGCGACGGCATGCGCGGCGGCATGCGGGGCAGGCGGCCCAGTTCCGGGTATTCGTACGCGAGGCGGAGACGACAGCGACGACAACGATAACATGAGATGGGGAAACGTACGGGCGGAGATGCATCGGACAGAAATGTGAAGGAAAAGACCACAAAATAGACAAGGCATGGGGACACCAGGAAAGGGAGGAAACTGGAGGGGAAGAATTACCGAAAAAGACCGCCGGCGAAGGATTTCTGGACACGTGGGAATCGAAGCATGACAGGCCACCGACCAGCTGACGAGCCAAGCAGATAAACCAAAGCAAACAGGCCAGCGGAATCAAGATGTAATCATGTAGATAAGATGTAAGATGTAAGATGTAGACAGTGCCCATAAATATGCCAAGCGCACGGCCAGCCACAAACCAAGCAGCTGCAAAAAAGACGCGCGTCCACGTTAAAGGTACACAGCCCAATAGTTCAATCTGCACTCGGCTGTCGGGCCGATGCGACGATTACCTCCACCCGCGGCAACGCACTCTGGCTCATCTGCTAACGGACAGCGTATAGCAGAGGCACCAGCTGCACAGGCTGGGGGGAGGGGTGCCACTGACTAGACACTGCTGAAAATGCGGTGCACTGGACACCGCCCATCAACCGGTGACACCCCACCCCACCCCCACCACCATCCCCCCATGCCCTGCCCCAGGCATACCGCTATCAGCAAAAGCATGCCCGTTGGGAGCCGTCTCCTACACTGCAAAACATTCTGAACGGACCATAGCATGCCGGCAGCGCAAAGTAGTCCTCCACAAGCGACCAGGCAACGCGACACGGCAGCGAAACAGGTCCGGTCACTCCAGGGAGGCAAGAGGCGGCACACAAGCAAATGCAGCCGACCAGTGGATACCCCCCCCCCCCCCCTACCTACATCCACAAAGACTCCGCCACCAACAGGCGGCGGCCCACCACACGAGAAGCGCCGATCCACCGTGGAAAGACGCGCGGTCCGGAGCGGCCGCCGGCAGCGGACGCCGCCGCCGCCGCCGCCTCACCGGCCGGCGGCCGGCGTGCAGTCCGAAATCGACGGCGGCGGGCCGGCGGGTCGCGTGACCGCGTGGCGTGACGACCGGGCGTGACACGGCCGTGTTTGGGCGACGGCGGCGTCACGAGATCGCACCGAGCGCGCGGGGGCGTGACGGGCGCGACCGCCGGCCACGACCGGCCGCCGGCACGGGAAGGCGCCGTGCCGTCACGGACGGGCTGCCGCGGCGCCCCCGAGGGCGCGCTGAGCGCTGGTGCTGCCTGGTGACGGACACGGGCTGTGCGGGCCCGCGCGCGCGTCTCGACGGCCGCCGGAGAACACGGCCGCACATCAAAGACGAGAGATTGGAAGGCGCCCTCGGTTGAGCTTCCGTAACGAGCGGCTTCGCTGGGTTTCGCAGTTTTGACAGCCACTATCGAGAGAGAGCGCAGCCTGCCACGGGGTGGCTGTGTCGTAAGATTGTGCAGCACGGACGCACTGTCTTCTGGTCATTTCGCCCCCAACCATAAGACCAATGTTGCCGTTGCTGAACACTATGAGGTAAGGCTGAGTGTTTACCTAGCACTGCGCCGCACGTTCAAGAAATTCGCCGCCTCTGTTTCGGGTGCTGGGCGCTTTCGGGCGCTGTCGCCAGACATCAATCATCACTTCAGTCACTCAGAAACATTGTTTGTAAGAACATTGAGACAAGACTGTGCGTGTTGTGGGTGGTTTCCCGTTAGCGCTGATGACGGGCGTCTACAGTGTTGTGGGTCGATACGACGGTCGAATACAATCATTAAGACAGCACTTATTACGTGACTGATGATCCGCCACAATTCCCCGTCACCCTCCCTCCCGTCATCATGCTTACAGCACGCAATCAAGCCAGCGCGCCAAAAAACAGCCCACGGACTAAGACGTTCTAGCCGTTTCAGCCTTGACGCAGTACCTCCAGTCGCACGCCGACACAAACTGTTTGTCTTGGCCGATTTCTGCAAACAGTCTGTAGGTTCACAGGCCTGTAGCGACCAGTGAGCTGAGAAATGCCGACCGGCGAGGCGCACTGAATTGCTGCCAGCCTCCCCGCGCCGCTGCGGCACGACGGGGACGAGCCGGGTCCGGTCCGGTCCGGTCCGGTCAGGACAGAACAGGACAAAACAGGACAGGACGGGACGGACAGGACAGGACAGGACAGGACAGGACAGGACAGGACAGGACAAGACAGGACAGGACAGGACAGGACAAGATAGGACAAGGCAGGACAGAACAGGACAGGACATCGCAGGACAGGGCAGGATAGGACACGACACGGTAGGGCACGGCACGGCACGGCACGGCACGGCAGGGCAGAACGTAGGACAGCGTACTGTCTAGGCGCGCGTTCAACCTTCAGTTGGGCGGCCAGGTTGCAGGTGGAAAGGGGGGCGGGAGAGAGGGGCGGATACGGGGATGACTCGGGACGGAACCTCACAAAGGTACGGTACAGGTCGAGAACGCCGCACACGGTGACCAGGTCTGGCAGCGTCTCATGAGCCTGGCGGGGTAGCTTTACTGAGACAAGACTAATGCACAGAGCTTCTTCCGCGAGGCGGATGACGCATAGCCTGTATTTGTGGCGAGGCAGACCATATCAAATTCGTTCGTTCTTTTTGTCCATTTATGCCATAGGAACAGAACATTTTAAAACATTCGGCCTTATTTTTCTTTGCAGATGTGTGCTGATTAATGAGCACACCACTCTCTCCCATCGATCTGTCCCGCGCGCAGGCCGTCTCAAACGTGCTCTCAAACAGATGAACACATTTACTATTTCCGTGTTGAATCCATGTTATGCGGACTTGATGCTGAGGTCGGACGGGTGAAGCGCACAGGCGGTGACTGCTCGTGGTGTGAGCGGCACGCTCGCCTCCAGACCTCATAATGCTCCGCAGCTAGGGACGCGGTGGGGAGCGTCGCTCGCGCACAGCGCACCAACCACATCGTCGAAGAAGGCGCGGCGATGTGCCGCTGTAATACATGTCACGACGCATCGTGAAGACCAAGAGAAGCTAGAGAACTAAAGGCTGGTGGCACGCATGGACTGCGGAGGCATGATAGCACACGTCCGCTGGGGAGAGGCGAAGCTTACCTATGGGATCGACGTGGGTGATGTGGTCGACGAAGTCCCGCTTCCCCAGGTACACGGTGATTTTGCCATTGGGTGAGCTCTTCTTGAAGACCCTGCGGAACAAAGCAACAACAGGTGAGCCCCCTGCCTGCGCCCACTGCCGGTCCCGGTTCCGGAGATGGCTTCCAGTCGGAGACGAAAGGTCCTCAGCCACTCAGCGCTGCTCGCTCCCTCGCTCTCTGCTCTCTCTGACGCTTCGAAGGTAGAGGTACCTCGGTGAGTGCGCGCCGAATGATTCACCACATGACACCCGGCCTAGCGCGGCACACCAGCGCCGAACCTGCCAGGCTGCTCCTGGTCCCCGAATAATGCTAACAGGCCGAACGCGTTGCAGAAGGAAATGGATCTTGTGGGGACCAGCACACTGCGGCTGGAGGCCATCGGACAAACGTGTGTGTGCGCCGGTTGTGCGGAGGCAGGTATGGGGACGGCACCCATGGGCCGTGCACGGCTGTCGCTGGAACAGCTGCTTCCGCGGGCTCAGTGAGACCGTCAAACATCGGCACCAGGTCATCAGCCAAGCCATCCCCGGACGCAAGCGAGGGGACCAAGGGAGCCATGCCCCCTCCCTCGAAAGACGGCAAAAATAATGTAACTATTGTATTGTTCCCAAGGGCTGGCGCGTAAAATTCGTGCCTGCTTGACCCCTTCCCCTCCCCATGACTGGATGCCGGCTTCGACTCTGGACCAGTTTGCAGCCATAAGAATACGGTCGCCCACGTTGGCTGCCCATGCATCAGCCGTGCACTAACGCGACGCAAAAGGCCCACGCACTAAACAAGAAGCATAACGTTCAGATAGCTCCTGCCCCACTGGTGAACGCTACCTCGTCATTTCTTACGGGAAAGCAGCCAACGCCGTCACGCACCTTTTATTTGTGACGCCAGCGACTACATCAGTCATATTAGCGCCTCAGGCCCATGACGCGAGCCCCGAGCGCTCATCAGAGCGCCAATAATTCACAACGGCGGGGGGAATAGTGAAGACCACTAGAACCTTCAGAAACCACCGGAAAACGGTCTGAGCGTTCGTATCGCTACTAACGCCACACACGCAACAAGACACCTTCCGCGTCCCAGGCGACCAAAACGTATGCATACGAGAGAGACAATACATTAGCGGTTATGGTCGAGCCCCGCGTCATTCCCGCCCGCCGCTGACGGCCCGCCCTTCGAGACAGCCAGCCCCCCTGGGAAGAAGATCCGACAGACAGCCAGCGCCATATTCTGTTCTATGATAGTTCCGATGAAAGCATTGACGCCAGCGACTTGCGAACCCCTAACCCAAGTAAGAGCGAAGTACTCTGCAAAAATCTTCCACACGCAAAACGCAGATGTCGCGGAGTAGATGGTGTTGCTGAGTGCTTTCACGTTAAACCTGATGGGCATTTTGATATCCAAAACCTGTTTTGGAAGAATCGACCAGATATTCAAACATCGTTTTCCAGTAAGGGCCGTGGAAAGAACTTATCATATAAATATGACGAATCTGTTTCTTGTCTGCTCTCTCTCAGGATCCATTTACGCCAATGTGGGCATAGGAAGAGCAATGTTCCAAGGTGCATATTGTTTTGCACAAGGCTATCAGTAACTCACATGAACTAATCACAATAAATACAACGCAAAAACACGTTGCTTGGTCATCAAACATGCGTACAAAAACAAGTCTAACAAATCGAAAATGCATTCCAAACATCCCTTTGCACATGACAAGCTTCGCAAACCCCAAGCAGAGCCAAGTTGAGCAAGTTCCAAAAGTTCCAAAGGGCTTTCATCACATCCGCGCTGAGAGGTTTCGACCACAATTCTCCGAAGGAAGCGCTCCAGGTCCGCAAGGCGGTTTCCTCTTCTCCTCCATCTTCCTCCCCCAACCCCCCAACCCCACTCTCCCCACCCCCAGCCCCTACCCCCTTCCACACTAAGGATGAAGATCCCCGTGAGGCCATCAGCCAAAGTACCGGGGAATTCTGCGGTATTGGTTGCAGGAGATGGAGAGCGGCGGAAGTGGTCGGCGCGGGGTTGCCGCTGCAATACAGCGCCCACGAGCCCCTGATGAAATACTGTACATGAATAATAGATAATGAAACACTGTGCATGATGAAATACTGTGCAATACTGTCATGGCGCCGCGTGCTCCATCGTGCAGAATCGGACGAAAAATAATTCGCACGCGCGACCGTTTCTCCATCGATTACGCATGAACACGAGGAAATCGGGCACATGCCGTGCGTAGTTATTCACACGACCTGCGGTCCGCAAATCCACCACGTCCACAGTTAGTCGCATCCGTGCTCCGTGAATTCCTTATATCTGCAGGAAGCTACACAATCCACACTCCACGGATCCACTACACAAATCGACAGATAACCATCACACAATCCGCCCATCCATTCGTCACACATTTCCACAGGCCGCCTTCGCTGCAGACCGCTGCACGGATTCGCCATCTGCACAGCTGGCCAAACAAGGCCTGGTGGCTGCCGTGGGCCGCGGCGAGACGCTGACGCCCGTCGGCGGCGCCGCCAGCGCAGAGCGCCGATAGAATCTGACGCTGGAACACGGCACGGAAGCGGCCTGCCGTGGTGCCAATCGGAACACGCCTCCTCCCCCCCCCCCCCCCCGCTGAATCGCAAGGCTGGCTGGCTGGTTTTGTCACCCCTCACTGCGACGCTTGACAATATAAGCGTTGACGGCGGATATCATCGACTAGTCCCTGAAGTTCCGAAACGCTAAAAGTTAATGCGTCCCAACGGCAAGCGATTCCCTTTAAGCACTTCACCGAGGGCACAACCTGAAGTCGTCAAAAACTGAGGTCGTCCAACACACCGCAGCACACTGATGTCAATCCGAAATACGGATGCCACGCTCCCGCGCGCTCGGCAGCGGACGCGACCATTAGGCTAATTACGTGCAAAGTCGGGGCCGAGGGCAGCATGTAATCGGGTTAAACCATCGCAGACACAGCATTCACCGTGGCTCTAAAACGATAAACAGCGTTTACATCACTAGCAAACCACACCACCACAGCACCACCATACCTGCGATTTATGGATGAGGCAGCCTAAAGCGTTACCCAGTGATTTAGAGAAGAAAAACGGTTACTGGCAGAGCTAAAGCGGCCTCTATGACGTAGGGATGGCGAACAGCATTACCTACATACACATGGCTCACGCAACTTACAAATGACAAACGACATGATAAACGCAGTGTCCCCGCGATTCTGAGATAAACTCAGTCTTACGTACGTGCCATATTTCCTGCCGAGCAATTTTTTCTTCCCATTGCGTTCGCCGCCCCGAGAAATTACCGAAGATTTTCGCAGCACGTACCAATACGACTACCCGCGTCACTTTTTCCACACAAATACTGCCGCGATCATAATGGATCGTACCTCCAACACGACGCAAATACCGCAATATTTCTCGACTTTTGTCTATCGTCGTGGATGCTTGGCCTGTTGATCGATAAACATTTTTCGTCTCGCCCGAGGTAAAAACAAACAACAAAAAACGGGTCATCAATGATCAAAGGTGACAACTTTTCGCGTTAACGGCGCCGAAGAACACTTTATACAGTCCGGACAATAATCCTACACTACCGCCCGATTGAGCGTGCTCAGATACACCCCACCCTGCAACTTCTAGGATCGCTTGACAGGAAAAAATAGCCTCATCCGCACGGAACGGTGTTCCCTGCGATTCCGAGATGACGAAATAAAATCCCCGCTAAGGCACGGCGCAACGTACGATCTAGATACCAATTGGCGCGAATGTTCCATGCGGTTCACCGGCGAAATATAGCATCACTTTGGAGCACAATGGCAGTTGGCATGAGTGTTCCCTTCGATTTACCGGCGAAATATAGCATTGCTTAGGTTGCAGATGCACAGGGCGTGATATGGAGTACAGTCCTGTGCAGCAGCCCGACGGCGGCCGGTCGGGGCTCTTGACCCCAACCCGGGCGGGCTCCCAGGCCTTGCTATTCCGGGTGAAGTTTCCCCACCCCACTCCCTTCTCCCTCCCCCCCCCCCTCCCTGAGATCTTGGGAACTACTTGGTCATTTTGAAGAGCGCATGACCCCTCTAGATGAGATCTACGTTCCTAACCTACAACATTTCATGAATTTCAGTTAGGGCAGTCGGGCGTGTAAAAGCCCCTGGCTGCAAATTTAAGACATTTTTTCATGACACAATTGTCCTGTTTATGAACAAATTCCAATGCAATAAACGCATATCGATCGATGATAATTTCCGATGTGAAAAGCTATGGGAATAATTCAAGTTCGAAATTAACGATCGTATCTAGTATACGCAAAACGGGGTGATAATACAACTGATCAAAATGGTTTTTTATCGAGTGCACGCGAACGAATGGGGTGGGGCTTTGCTTGACAATCAGAGTAGCAGACATCAGCCGAAAATCAGGCACAATGTGTATAAGATATTCAGAAAGGATCAGAATACGATGGAGTACGAGGGAGCTCGGAGCTACCGTCACAGTTTGCATATCCCCAAAAAATTGCACATCACATCACCAAACGACAACTGCAGCTTGTACAACACTAATTAAGGCCGCATGGCAAACTCCACTGACCCAGTCACAACACCACCTACCGCTGACGGCATTCGGCGCCTGTCATCACAAGGTCCGGCATCCTGCAACGGCAGCAGCACCCGTGCAGATTTCTTACACCAGCGATCTAAGCTTGGCTGCTTTGAGCCGCGTCCCAGCGAGACCTCACCTTTCATCTCGACCTACAGTCGGCAGCCTAACGATGCCGGTTGCTGCCTCCTCTCCCCTCCCCTCTCACTCTTCCCCCGCCGGAGCGTTCCTGGCGAGGGCCCCGGGGGACGGGGGAGGGGGAGGGGTGAACGGGACGGGCCTCGGCGAGCGGCCACATCTCCCCAGGCTCGTGTCGGCGCCGGCCGGCTGGCCGAACGCAAAAAACCGTTGGCAACCAGCGGACGACAGAATGGCGGCCGAGGCGACAGCGACGGGCCATTGTGCGCGCGAGAGCCGTCGACACTCTCGAGCGCCCCCGGCCAGGGGGAGCAC